TGGAACTGTGGCACTTTATCCTGTCATCTGTGTCTCTTTACACATAGACATGAGGGCAAGTGAAAGTCCGTGAGGTGTATTTCTTTTCTAATTCGGTCCTTGCATGGCTTATTTAATATCCTATGCCTCTCCCCACTGCTCCTGTCATCCTGGACCACTTGCCTACACTGTTACGGCCCCCCTGGGAAGTCATTGCCCCTCTTGACATGCTCCAGCTGGGCCAGCCACACTGGGCCCTTGAACTGGCCTGTCCACCTGTGTGTGTTTGGCTGGGTCGCAGAGACTCTGACTTCTGTAGCCAACTCACAGCCTTCAAGTGGTTCTTTTCTTGCTTTACTGCACTGGGAGAGAAGCTCAAGAACAATTCTCGATTGAAGTGTAAAGCTACCACCTGGACACGCATTGAAATTGAGCAGTGGAACTTCAGTCATTCGCATTAAGATATGATGTTAGCTGAGGGGTTTTTTCAGAGATGACCTTTTTAAGTGGAGAAATCTCTATATTTACTGATTGTGCTTAAGACTTATTTTTATTCAGGAATGGATTTGATTTTTGTCAATACTGTTTCTATCCTTATTGAGTGGTTATATCATTTACTTTTTAATGATTCTATGTGGGTGTTGCCTGTTGATTTTGGATTTTGTTTTATTCATTGTGAATGTTTGGAAAAGTACTATCTAACAGTAACATATCATCTCAAGCCTTTTGAAGATACGTTAATCTGAATTATATTCACATACAAATAACACTATTCATTTCCCAACACTCTTTACCTTCCCAAACTGAACCTCTGTAGTTTAACACATAATCCATTACTCTCCTTCCAGCCTTTCCATCACTCTGTGATTGTGGTGAGGTTTGACTATGGTTAGGTTTGCTCAGAAAATGGAATCAGATAGTATTATTTGCCCTTTTGGTAATGGCTTTATGACTCAGCAAATAGCTCTTGGAGCTCATGCATGTGTAGCAATGTGTCAGAATTTTCTTCTTTGAGGTCTGGATAATATCCATTGTTATATATCTGCCACTCTGTTGCCTTATTTCTTTATCTGCACATGACACATGGGTTGTTCCACCCTGGCTATCTGAAGGATGCTGCTATGAACCTGGCCAACCAACCCTGATGGATGTTTAGCATTGAACCAGCATGTTCATTCTTGAGATTAAACCCTCAGTTGATTATACTATGATTTTTTTCATTTATTATATATTTTATTATTATGGATAGATTTACTAAAATTTTGGAACGTTTGTCTATGTTGATGAGGAGTCTGTAGTTTTTCTGTCTTTGAAATGTCTTATGTGTATTTTCGGGAACTGGGGAGTGCCGGTGTCCATGGAATGATTAGGCACGTTCCTCTGCTCCCCTGGCTCCTGTTGTATGGACGTAGACGTGAGGAACTGGGATTATTTTTCTCCTCATGTTTCGTAGAATTCATCCAGTGAAATTATCCGGGATTGAAAGTATGATTTGGGGGGAAAATTTGAATAGAAATTCTAATTTCCATGCAAAAGATATAGGTGTATCTTCCCTGTGGGTTATTACCATATATTGTTGATTTGTGTAATTCTGGTTAGTTTCTTATCTAAAGAATTTGTCCATATGCATTTAAGTTGTAAATTTTATGTCATAAACATTCATGATATTCACTTTACTATCATTTTGGGTGTCTGTGAACTCTGTGGTGATACTGTTCTCTCAGTTCCCCTTCTTTTGGTAGTTCTTATTTCTTCTCTTTTTTCTTCTCGTGTCTTGGGGTAGAGCTTTAGCAAGTTAATTGAGCTCAATGAACCAGCTCTGATTCATTGCTTTGCTCTTTTTCTTTCAGTTTACTAGTTCTCTGATTTCTCTTCTGATTTTTGCTTTAGGGATGTCGATGGCTCACTTCTGATTTCATTTCTCAAAGACTATACGTGAACGTCCCCAGAAACAAGGTAAATGTGACTAATCAAATGTCTACTGACAATTTAGGTATCCACAAGGAGCCATGTTTTCTTACTGACAAGATTATATTCCTGGCCCACCAGCAGGGCTGAGGAAACTATGGCTGTGGATTTCAAGGTTTTTTCTTTTTTAGCATCAAAGGACACAAGAAAAGTTCATCTTTTCTGCTGCACCCTATTTAATAAAAGGATTTGTTGTGTTAAATTTGGATTCAGTCAAAAGGTGGCATTTACAGACCTGAGAACCCACATGTGGCCTTAAGGCCACGGTTCCCCGCCTCTCTTACTGACACAGCGGGTTTTGCGCACCCAGGAAGGTACCCAGGAAAACTGCACGGTGCAATTCTCCAGTGCAAAAACACTCCTGTGTCCTGTCTCTGTGCAAGGCACAGCGTGGGTACTGTGGGAGGAGAAGGCAACATGAAGCATATCCCCTGACCTCAAGGGTGCTCAGCAGAGTGGGGAGGCCAGTCCGTGCTGAAGGAGGGCAGCACGAGGTGAGGGGTGAGCCCACAGCAGAGGTCCACACCTCTGGCTGGAATGGGGACGTATGGAGACAGAGAGGAATCCAGCAGAAGTGCTCAGGCAGCACTGGGCAGGTGACCGGCCACTGAATGCAGCGAATCTGAGGGAAGCAGTTGAAAATAGAGCCAGTCACTCTCCATCAGATCCCAGGATCCGGCGGGTAGGAGGGGTTGTGCACCTTGTTCAGCATTTCAGAGGCCTCAGGGGGTTGGAAATGGAGGAAGAGAAGCAGCGATGCCCATGCATGGCAGAGACACTTGGGAACAAACCTTTCTGCCAGTTAGGAGTCACTGCTCAGGGCCTTGCTGTCTGTCCTTGGAGCAGGAGATGCCAATTTCTTTCCGGCCAGAGAGTGTTTTGTAGTCTCAGGATAAAACATAAATTTTGTTTTGGGACAAATTTCTTAAACACAAGGTTTAGTCTTGTATTTATTTTCTCTCACTTTTAAGGTATTTATTTTCTCTTCTTTTTGTCTTTCTGATTTGTCAAAGTCCAAAGCATTGCTGAATAATTTTGTTTGAAATGTCACATTGTGGTACTGGGCACAGTCCATTTCTAAGGCAAGGGTAATAAGCTAGTCTTATATGGAAAACATACAAGTGTGTATCCCAGCAGATATTATGGTCCTTATGAGTCAATGATTGGCCATGTGTGTGGCTTTTTAATCAACATGTGAGTACACGCCCTGTGTTGGGTGCAGCTTTTATGCCCGCACTTCTTCCGCCTGCTGCGTTACACGAGCTGGGGATCCAGGCGGCTGGGTTGCTCCGGGCTGCGGTTCTGCCATGGCTCCTGCGGCGCTGCCCGGGCCCCTGGCCCTGTGTGTGTGTCTGCTGCTGATGTCCGGCCTGGCCGAGGCAGGCAAGCTGCTGGTGGTGCCCATGGACGGCAGCCACTGGTTTTCCATGCGGTCCGTGGTGGAGAGACTCATCCACAAAGGGCACGAGCTGGTTGTGGTCATTCCGGACGTGAGTTGGCAACTGGGACAATCACTGAGTTTTACAGTGAAGACTTATAAAACTTCTCACACACTGGAGGATTTGAACCATGAGTTTATGAGTTTTGCCGACGCTCAATGGAAAAATCGGGGACAAACTTTACATTCCTTTACGACTCAAGCAAGAGGTTTTTTTAAAATTGTTCTTTCACACTGTAGGAGTTTGTTTAATGACAAAAAATTAGTAGAATACCTAAAAAAGAGTTCTTTTGATGCTGTGTTTCTAGATCCTTTTGATCTGTGTGGCTTAATCGTTGCCAAATATTTCTCGCTCCCCTCTGTGGTCTTCACCAGGGGAGTATCTTGTGGTTCTCTTGAGGAAGGTGCCCAGTGCCCGGCTGCTCTTTCTTATGTTCCCAGAATGCTGTTAGGATTCTCAGATGCCATGACTTTCAAGGAGAGAGTACGGAACTATATCTTCCACTTGGAGGAACATTTAGTTTGCCCCCATTTTTTAAAAACAGGGTTAGAAGTTGCCTCTGAAATCCTCCAGACACCTGTCACGGCGTATGACCTCTTCAGCGACACATCAATCTGGCTGCTGCGAACCGACTTTGTTTTTGACTATCCCAGGCCTGTGATGCCCAACATGATCTTCATTGGTGGCATCAACTGCAAGCAGGGAAAGCCCTTGCCTGAGGTGAGTTGTCTCTCCTTTAGCAAAATGGGCATAATCTGTCTTTGGACATTAAAAAAGAAAAAAAGATTCCTGCCTTAGCTGTGATTTCTCCTTTGCATTTTTTGGATTTGGAATTGTTTTTATTTTAACAAATTATTTTGTGCCGGTTCACTTAATTGGGAGTTAGCAAATATTATAAATCTGTCCCGCTGATGTGCATAGGTATACAATTGATATAGTTGTACATAATTTTTAGGCTGTATTGTTTGTAAATAGAAATGCAGTGTTTCTGTGTTGCCCAGGCTGGTCTCAAATTCCTGGGCTCAAACGATCTTCTTGCTTTAGCCTTTAGGGCAAATGAGATTACAGTCTTAATCCGCTATGCCCCCCTTGAAGACTGGAATTTTTTTTTTTTTTTTTTTTGATACAGGGTCTCATTCTTTTGTCCGGGCTAGAGTGCAGTGCCATCATCACAGCTCACTGCAACCTCAAAGCCCTGGACTTAAGCAATCCTCCTGCCTGAGCCTCCCAAGTCTTTAGGACTACTGAGATTACAGTCTTAATCCACTATGCCCCCCTTGAAGACTGGAATTTTTTTTTTTTTTTTTTTGATACAGGGTCTCATTCTTTTGTCCGGGCTAGAGTGCAGTGCCATCATCATAGATCACTGCAACCTCAAAGCCCTGGACTTAAGCAATCCTCCTGCCTGAGCCTCCCAAGTCAATAGGACTACAGGCCCATGTCACCAAGCCCAGCTAATCTTTTTAAAATATTCTGTAGAGACGAGTTTGGCTCTGTTGCTCAGGCTGGTCTCAAACTCTTGGGCTCAAGTTGTCCTCCTGCCTTTGGTTCCAAAGTACTGGGACTACAGGTGTGGGCCACTACCCAGCTCAGGTTGCATTTTGTAAGTGTTTTTGGAAAAGTAATAAAGGACACAGTAAGAGAAGAAACTTTCCTTTTTTTGCTAATCCCATGCTACTACCTACAGTAAAATGCTCTTAGCACTTTTGTATGCATTGTTTTCAATTTTTGAAATCATGTTTTATAACTCCATATGGCCAATGTGAATTGTCACATCAATATTATTAAAGTATAACCTATTAATAATATCAGGCTGCACATGTTCTTGTTTACTTTGCACTTTTCACTTGCTGATAAATTATAGAATCGTGTGTAGCTGCTTTAGTTTTCACTTGTTATTTTCATAGGTATACTGGCCATTTGCATTTCCTCTTTTGTGAAATACATCTTGACATTCTTATTCATTTGTATGTAGCTGTTTGTCTTTTTATAACTCATAAGGCTGCTGAGTGTTAGGGATGTTAATCTATCGCTTTTTATATGTGCTGCAAGTATTTTTTCCTTGACTTTTCTTCATCTTTTGTTATACAGGGTTTTCATGGTTGGATAGTCACATTGGTTAACTTTTCCTTTAATGGTTTCCTAAAAGACCTTTTAGGTCTTTCTAAGCCCGAAATATATAAATGTTTTCTCCATATTATGTTTTAATGTTTTCAAATCTTCTAATGGTGATAGTATTATTTGTTTATACAATGAACACTTCAATCTATGCAAAGTGAAGATCTTTTTCTTTTCTCAATGGATAATCCATTGTCTTGATGCCATTTAATCAAAAATTCATTCTTTAGCCATTGAATTAAAATGCATCTTTATCAAATTTTAAATTTCTATCAATATATTTATTTGCATATGCTTCTGGGCTCTCTGTTTTGTCCCACTGATTTGTCTATTTATGCGCCAGCATCATATTTTGATTATACTAGTTTTGTAGTAAGTTTGCACATCTGGCAGGGCAAGCCCCATCCTAAATATTACTTTTCCAAATGTTCTTGGTGATCTTCATAATTTATTCTCCTTCATAAATTTAAAAATACTTTTGTCTTGTTTTAAAAACTGAAAAAAAAAACATTTAGGACTGTGTTATTATTACATTAAATATTTTTATTAATTGTGAAAGACTGACAACCTTTTATTATTACATCTTCCTATGCAGAAATATATATTAATTTCTATTTATCCAGATCTTGTTTTATGTCCATCTATAAAATTTTGCACCTCACATTAGTATTTTATCTTTCTTATTTAATAGAATTTATGCTAGGCCTTTATTATTTCCTAAACTTTTGTTCTCAGGGCAATTTTTCCATTTCTAGTTTGAACCAACTATCGATGATTCAAATACAGCTTTGGTTTTTGTTATTTTATTAGGGAGGGACTAAGTATCTTTATGTATTGTTCTGGCTTCTTCTAAAGTTCAGTAGACTTTGTAACAGTCACATTCTCTCATCATTGGCAGATGTTTGGTGAGTGACTTTCAGCCAACTCACTGGAAGTGAAATAATGCTCTAGAAAGCGGGAAGACTATAGTTTCAGGCCTTTCCCAATTAGGCATGACTTCCTTGGCAAGAGCAGGCAAGAAGATGCACATGTGACAGGACCCTTAGGAGGCTGAGCCTGGCAAAGGGCTCCTCTCACCTTTACCTTCCATGAGCCACAGCAGGGAGCACCACCCAGGGTCTGATGCGCCCTGCCCTCTAGCCAAGGGTGGGGCCCTGCAATTTCCTGGGTCACCCAGAGGGCTTCAGAGATACAGAAAGCCACATATAATATCCTAATTTTATATTACCTATCATATAGCTGTGTCTATAAGATGTGAAATGTAAGAAGCAATACATGGTTTCATACACGTTTGGCTATATATACCTATAAAATCTATGTAATAAATGATTTTATATACCTATTAAGGGGCATGTAAATGTAAAAGCTTGTATACTTGTGGATGGTTATATATGAATGCATATATCTATAATTATAATTATAAAGCAAGCTGAATTCTGACAGAAGACTTGATATTTCAAAGAGGGCTCTTTGGTAAAGAGCCTTGAATACAGCACAGCTGCAAAAGTCAATTTTGATGGAAAGACGTACAGATGCTGTACAACCTCCTGCCTTGTTTTGGATGGGCAGGCCGGGTCTGGGAAGAGTGTGCTGTGTGTCTCGCCTGCTGGAGAGCAGGAGTCAGAGTCTGAATCCATGTGTGTGATGAGGAGGGAACATGCTTGACTACAGAGTAACAGAGTCACTGTGACCCAGTCATAGTCTCTGTGTGTATGTGTGTCTGTGTGTGTGCCTGTGCACGTTGTTTGAGCATGTGCATGTCATATTCTCTATGTGTGTGTGTGCCTGTGCATGTGTGCTTGAGTGTACCCATGTGCATGTGTTTGCATATGGTGTGGCAGGCCCTACGTGGTAACAAAATACCATCGAGGTGACCAGGGGATTGTATCCAGTGATGTAATTGGATATAATACTTTGACAAGGATGGCAGACCATCACTCCAAAGGACATTAAGGTTGGTTTGATTTTCCAGATTTTTTCATTATTTGGTCAGTTCCAGCAGAACTCATGACTGGGTCTAGCTGGGAAGAATTCAGGTTGAGTCCACATAATCCAGGGCAGTTGTGGGAGACCTGGGGTGGGATGTGGTAACACAGCAATAATACACCTGTGCTTCCCTCACTTCTCTCACATGCTGGTTCCAATTTTAATTCAAATTTAGCTGTTAGTGGGTGATTCCAATTCCTCCCATCAAGATTCTGTCTTTTAACGTTTTACTATCAAAGTTTTCAAACTTACAGTGTGATGAGCACCCATAGATTTTCCATTAGGTTAAATTACTTTCAATATTTTCCTATACTGATTCATCTATCCCCTATTTCCTTTCTAAGAACATTTTTGGCTGTCATGTTTTAAAGTAAATTCTTGACATGCTGGGTCGGGTGGCCAGGGAACCATACTTTGAGCAGCACTGTTTTAGACCGAAGCCAGTATCTTCACAGGAGCAGTGTTTAGTGAGAAATAAAAAATAATCAGAATCCTTTGATAAATGTGCTAAAGATACTACATGGTCACGAATACTGAAGAGTAAGTTAAGGCCAGGGCAAACTCCACTGTTAGCGACTTGTTTTCCTGGTAACCTTATGTTTTGGGAACATGGCAACAGTTCTCCCTGCTAGGGTGACAACTCCTGTTGGTTTGCCCAGAACAGTCCCAAGTTTATCCCTAGAAGTCCCACGTCCCAGGAGACTCCTCATTCCCAGGTGAACAGGGACAAGGGGTGGCTGTCACTGAAGCAGGGAAAGGTGGCCTCAGCAACACGAGTGCCAGAGGTGGTGAGACTTCAGGCTTTATCACTCTTCCATCTACTGCCTTTGCCCAGATGTCTGAAGGGTGACAAGTCCCTTCCATGCAAAAGTCAGGTTAGGAAAGAAAGTAGAAATAGTCTACTGTTTCTCAGAAGGCTTACCAATAAGATAAATATTCTTTAATACACTTTTGTGTGTGTGTGCTGTATAGTGTATTCTTACAATAAAGCAACCTACAGGAAAGAAAATGTTGCTAAGACTATCAAAGGAAAAGAAGACTCATTTATTAACCATTAAGTAGAAGTGGATCATCATAAAGGTGTCCATCTTCATTGTCTTGACATGGAGTCCCCAGCAGAGAAAGAAGACAAGGACTTGGTCTTTCTGTGTCAGGAGTGGCAGAGGTGGAAGAGGTGGAGGGGCTGGAAGGGGAGGCAGGAGAGGCGGGCACACTTGGTTTAATTTACAGAAATACATCATAATTTCTGTCTGACTTTTTTGCTTGTTTGTTCCTTAAAAAGGGCCTCTAGGCACTACCAATGCTCCTCCCACTGTTTGCCTCCCTTGCAGTGAGTGTCTGTAGCACAGAAGAGTCCTTGTCACAGAAGAGGTGAAGAGCAGTCTGGAATAACTGCAGCTCTTCTGCCAGATTGTTTAATGTGCATTTGGTTCTGGCACTGCTTCCTCTTCACCTTCTTCCTGAGCACCTGGCCCTGGTCCAGAGCACTTATCTCCAGCAAGTCATCTTCTGTTAACTGCTCAGTGTGCTGGGCACAAGCTCTTGAACTCCTCCAAGACCCATATGTTGAAACACTTTATGCCCCACCTTTTTTTCTGTTTTCTTTGGCCACATCCACAGTCTCCTCCGTAATTTTCTTGCACAACAGCTAGACAGTTTTTCTACAGCAGGAATCGAGGAATCGATGATTTCAGGATTGATGGCTTTCACAGCTTCTTGTATCAGAACAATGGCATCTTCAGTGGTGAAATCCTTCTGTGTTTTCCTGATGTTCTCTCTGTGGGGACCCTCTTCCATAGTGTTGCCAATCCTGTCTATACAGTGCTTTGTGCAATGAGCCCTAAAGGTCCTCATGGGCCCCGATCTAGAGGCTGAATTAGAGACATTGTGCTTGTGGCAAGTAGAGTACTTTGAGCCCTTCCATGCTGAACTCATGGGGTTGTGGGTGGCCAGCAGCATTGTCCAATATCAAGAGAACTTTGACAAGCAGTCCCTTACTGGCAAGGTAGTTTCTGACTTCAGAGACAAAGCATTGATGGAACCCATCCAGAAACAGTGTCCTTGTCCAGACCTTCTATTGTACAACAAAAAGACTTATCTTTTCCTTGGGGGTTAGCATCTTTGCAGATAAGGGCAGCCCTGTTCATAAACCCAATGGCATTTGTAAACAGTGGAGTTAGGCTTTTCCTTACTGCCCTAAATCCTGTAGCTTGCTTGTCTTCCTTAATAGTAAATGTTCTTTGTGCCTTTTTCCCCCCAGAATAGGGCACTTTCATGTGCATTAGAAATCTATTCCACCAGATATCCTTTCTCCTCAATGATTTCCTTAATGGCATATGGAAACTTGCCTGTTGCCTCTTGTCCAGCAAAAGCTGCTTCTCCTGTCATCTTGACATTTGAAGAGTCCAACCACTTTCTAAAACTATGAAATCACCTTTTTTGGCATTAAATTCTCCAGCTTAAAATCCTTCACCTTTCTTTTTCTTTAAGTTGTCCTGTAATGTCTTTGCCTTCTCTGGCATCATATAGAGTCTACAGGTATGTCTTTCTTGTAGCAATCCTACATCCAAAAAAGGCTGCATTTGCCATACAAGATAAGAAGGCATTTCACAATAAGTGCAAGGTCTGGGTGCTTGCTGGTGTAGCTGCAGTAATGGCTGTTCATATTTCATGTGTGTGTGTGTTTGACAGTGGTCCTTATGCTGGAATCAATCATTTGGAAATGGTGGGCAAGCACAGCTGCAGACTTCAATCTACGGTACTTATCAAGTAATTCAACTTTTTCTTGTAATGCCATGACTTGTCTCTGATTCTTGGGAAAACTTCCAGCATCAGTAGTGGCAGTTTGTGTGGGTACCATGAGGTTAGTCAAGGTTTATAATACTGCCAATATTGCCCCAAACATGATGAAAAATACTGGAGAACCAAAAATACTGGAGATCACTATTTAGTGTGATACACAATTTACTGTAGAAATGGATGCTCACATGGGGATGATTAGCATCACAGGACATTTCAAGCAGATACTGGCAACACTTTAGTTCCCTGCAGTGGCAACAAGAGGTGGGTGTGAATTTATCACAGTGCATACTACTGTTAATTGTGTGTCTTAAGGTTCATACAGCATCTTCACATTTATTTACATTTCTCTTCACAGAGAATGGCACCTTGTGCAGTCTGTGTTTGTGGGTATAAATCTGATAATTTTTTTATTTTGAAAAATCTGCCCATAAATGGACCCCTGCCATTCAAGTCTGTGTTGTTCAAGTTAGCTGTACATACAAATAGCATTAATTTTTCTATATTGTATTGTGCAACCATGGTAAACTTACTTCTTAGTTCTAGGAGATTTTTGTACAGTTGCTTGGAATTTCTAAATAGATGGTCATCTTGTCTGTGAATGAGATCCTTTTCCTTTTCCTTTCCAATGTGACACTTTTTATTTCTTTTTCTTGCTTTACTATACTGGAGACAATCTCAAGACGAGTTTGAAGAGAAGTATTAAAAGCTCTCACCCTAGACATGCATCTGACCTGAGGACTGGAACATGCAGTCATTCACCATTACGTATGATAGCTGAGGATTTTTCAGAGATTCTCTTTGTTAAGTGGAGAAACGCCTTTTATTTACCAATTCTGCTAAGACTTTTTATCAGGAATGGATTTTGAATTTTGTCAAGTACTTTTTGTATCCTTATTGAGATGATTATATCATTTTACTTTTTCAGTGGATTTATGTGGTGTGTTACCTTGACTGATTTTGTGTTTTTAATTATTTACTTCATTCTGATTGTTGGGAAAATACTCATAATATAACATTTATCATTGCAACTATTTGAAATGTACAGTTCAATATGGAATATATTCACATTACAAATAACATCATTCATTTCCAAAACTCTTTTACCTTTGCAAAGAGAACTTTTGGACCTCTTAAACAATAGCTCCCCATCACCCCTCCTTCCAGCCCTTGGCAACCAGCATCAACTCTGTGATTCTGTGAGTCTATTTTAGGTGACTCATGAAAATGGAATCATACAGTATTTGTCTTTTGGTGACTGGCTTAACTCAGCAAAATGTCTTCTGGGTTCATCCATGTTGTAGCATGTGTCAGAATTTTCTTCCTTTAAGGCTGGATAATATTCCATTGTATATATCTGCCACCTGTTGCCTATTCATTCATCAGCACATGGACACCTGGGTTGCTTCCACCTCTTGGCTATTATGAATGATGCTGCTTTGAACTTGGCCCGACAACCTTGATTGATTTTTAACATGGAACCAACATTTCACTTTTGAGATAAATGCCAGTTTATTATAGTATATTATGTTTTTATATATTATATATTTTTCTATATTATGTAATTAGATTTGCTAAAATTTTGTTTAGAAGTTTTGCATCTATGGTGATGAGGGTCTATAGTTTTTCTTTTTTTGAATGTCTTTATGTGATTTCGGAACTGTGAGAGTGCTGGTGTCATGGAATGAATTAAGCAATTCCTCTGCTCCTGTTATATGGAGGAACTGGGATTATTTCTTCCCTCTATGTTTGGTAGAATGCATCAGTGAAATCATCTGGACTGGATGAGTTATTTGTGGGAAAATTTCAATTAGACATTCAATTTACACTCAAAAGATACAGATTACTTCTACGTGGGCTATTTATTTGTTCTTATGTAAATTCTGGTAGCTTGTGTCTCTTAATGAGTTTGTCCATATCATTTAAATTGTAGAATTTATTGTCATAAACATGTTGATGAAATTCTCTTATTATCATTTCAATATCTGTAGACTTTGTGGTGATACCACCTATCTCATTCCCCTCTTTGGTAATTTATTTCTTCTCCCTCCACTCCCTTTTTTTTCCCTGATCAGTCTGGTTAGAGTTTTAGCAAGTTAATTGATCTCAAAGAACCAGCTTTGGTTTTATTGCTTTGCTCTTGTCTTTCTATTTTTTCATCCATTGATTTTGACTCTGAAGTCAGTCTTCAGGGAAGGTAGATCACTCACTTTTGTTTTCATTTTTCAATGACAATCATGTGAAAGGGTCCTAGTGGGCCAGGTAAATGGTGACTAAGCAAATTTCTACCAACAGGTCCTGAAGTAGCCATCTTTTGTTCCTGACTAGGATTATGCTCCTAGGTTGGCTGCAGAACCCCTCACTAAATGCTCTTAGGGTGTTACCTGACACACACCGAATGCCCACCCAGGAAGGTACCTAGGAAACCTGCACCGTGCAATTCATTCCAGTGCAACAAACATTCCTGTGTCCTGTCTCTGTGCAAGGCACAGCGTGGGTACTGTGGAAGGAGAAGGAAACATGAACAGCATATCCCCTGACCTCAAGGAGTGCTCAGCAGAGTGGGGGAGACCAGTCCGTGCTGAAGGAGGGCAGCACGAGGTGATGGGGTGAGCCCACAGCAGAGGTCCACACCTCTGGCTGGAATGGGGACGTATGGAGGACAGAGAGGAATCCCAGCAGAGTGCTCAGGCAGCACTGGGCAGGTGACCGCCCACTGCATGCAGCGAATCTGAGGGAAGCAGTTGAAAATAGATGCCAGTCACTCTCCATCAGATCCCAGGATCCGGCAGGTAGGAGGGGTTGTGCACCTTGTTCAGCATTTCAGAGGCCTCAGGGTGTTGGAAATGGAGGAAGAGAAGCAGCGATGCCCATGCATGGCACAAACACTCGGGAACAACAGCTTCCTGCCAGTTAGGACTCATTGCTAAGGGCCTGGAGCAGGAGATATCAATTTCTTTCTAGGCAGAGAGTGTTCTTGTAGCCTAAGGATAAAATCCAAATTTTGCTTTGGCACAAATTACCTAAACACAAGCTTTATTCATGTATTTATCTTCTATCCTTTCTAATTTTCTGGGTTGTTTTTTTTTCTCTCCTTTTTATGTTTCAGTTGTCAAAGTCCAAACCACTGCTGAATAATTTTGTTTGTAAAGTCACATTGTGCAGTACCGGGCATGATGTATTTCTAAGGCAAAGGTAATAAGCTAGTGTTAACCGGTTGACAAGCATTTTCTAGCAAAATAATTTGCAATTTCCACAATGTTAGTAATATTAGCCATACATTCAGGCTGTCTTCAGAATGACATGAACACATGTCAACATTCTCTTCTTGAAGCAACTTCCCTTGAATTATTTCATCTCCAGAAGGGTGGACTGTCCCCTTAGGGAGAGTTCGCACACTACATTTAAAGGAAGCAGATACTGGCTGCTTACCACTGCGGCAGGTGCTGCCCTTACAGACGCCAGCATCATCTGTGGGCCCACTTTGAAACTAAGGCACAGGGAGGTTGAATGACTCACCCAAGGTCATGGCTCTAGGAAGGGGGAGGCCAGGATTCAAATCCAGACATTCTTTTTTAAATATGGAGACGTAATTCAATACTATACAATTTATATGTTAAAATGTACGGTTCAGTGGTTTTTAGTATAGTCACAGAAATAAGCAACCATCACCACTACCTAATTCCAGAACATTTTCCTCACCCGAGACAGAAGCCCCATGCCCACTGGCAGTCACTCCCCCTTTGTCCCCATTCTCCTAGCCCTGGGCACAAATTTACTTTCTGTCTCTATGGATGTGCTTATTGTGGGCATTCCGTAGAAGTGGAATCACACAATACCTGGTCCTTTGTGACTGGCTTCTTTCACTTAGTGTCACTGTTTGTTTGTAGCATGAATCAGCATTTCATTCCTTTTCATGCCTGACTTGTATTCCATTGTACAGAGACACCACATTTGTTTATCCACTCATTAGTTGATGGACATTTGGGTTGTTTCCATGAAAAAAATCATGCTGCTGTGAACCTCTGTGCACAATGAACCCTGACACTTTGATTTTAGAGCCTGTGTGCCCAACAACAGCTACGCTTGACTGCCTCCCTGTGCAGACAGGAAACTTCTTGGGAAATGTCCCAACATTTCCCTGTGGCCTTTTGGTAATGTCATACTCAGTGCAATGTGCCCAGGGGGCTTCGACTTACATCACATGGTCTCTCAGCCTGTATGTAGCAGACATGAGTTGGTTTCGGTGGTTTAGGCTACAGAGTACAATGAAGCTGGCTGTTCCTTATATGTGATATTAAAGATCCTTCATTCAACAAATGTCCATGGAAAGCCTCTGTGTGCCTGGCCCAGTGCTGGGAACATGGCACTAGTGAAATGAACGTGGCTTGGCCTGTATAATAGAGAGGAATATGATCAGTTATAAGCTGTGAAAATCTTTGAAAGAACAGTAAATGGTGCAAAGGGACGTGATGGTTGGGGCCTTAAGGATAGGAGGAGCAAGGCTGGAGCAGTTGGGAAGCAGTGTGCCAAGCATAGAGGGCTGGTGGGGCATGAAGCCAAAGGACATGAGTCCTTTAACCTTTGGAACTGTTACACATTATGTCCCGTCACTTCTGTGTCTCTTTACTGTAGTGTAGAGATGGGCAAGTGAAGTACTAGTGTATGTCTTTTCTGAGTAGTGCCTTGTCACAGCTTATTTAATGGCCTGTGCCCCTCCCGACTGCTCCTGTGCTCTTGGGACCAACCCCCAAACTAATACAGCCCCCCTGGGAAGCCTTAGCCCTCTTGACATGTCTGGCTGGGCAAGCCACACTGCCCTGTCCCATCTGTGGGTGATTTGGGGTCTGGGCCCAGAGCACTCTGACTTCTGCAGCCCCCACCCCACCTGTCGAGTGGATTACACTGCCCCAGTATCCACACCACATACACTGTCTATAGAACCTAATGAGCTGAACTGTTATGGATTCACTGGTATGTAGTTAGATTTTGATAGCTATTTAATAGAATATTTATACATTTTAGTATTCTGGATTCAGTAAAATTTTAAAGTCTTGAAGACTTTGTAGGCAGGTCCTGGCTCTATTGCCTGTGGGTTGTGGGTAGGGCAAGGGTCTGGGAGAGGGAGCACCCAAGAGGTTAACCCTCCATAGGGTCAGCCTGTCCTAACGCCACCTGCCCTAACATGAAGTCACCCCATGCACACCTGTAGGTCTCCCTCTACTCAAAGTGCCAAGCGTCCTCCAATCACTTTTTGGGATATCTGCTCCTTGTGTAGAGACTGGTTTTGTCCTAGGAGCTACCTCGTCCACCCGTCTGCAGTGTGTCCCACGCCTCAGTCATTCTATCTACAGTAACCCCTGAGACAAAGCTGGCCTCTGACTGGGCCGTCAGGTAAATGGTGATGTCCGAACACCTTGAGTCCCCCAGCATCACTGAGGCCTGGGCCACCAGGCAGCTCTTCTTTAGGTCATTCACTGTCACTAACAGACAGGCTAGATCCCTCCTCCTAGTGTCCAGGAAAACACACACACACACACACACACACACACACACACACACACACACATTTCATTCTTAATATAGTGCAGTTGAATGTCATAAAGAAAAAGAGAAATGTTTTCTAACACCTTAACTTGCAAGGCATCATTCTGGTGATGGTATGCATGGAGCCTTTAGTCCTTTCCTTCATCTCCTGCCACCTACCTGCGTCCCTGTGGCCTTCAGGGAATAAGAATAGCAGCCACACATGAGCCATATGATTTTCAGAGCAAGACTCTGTTTAGAAGGGCCCAGACCAAGGTCCTCAGCAGAGTGGAGGTCCAGCACCTCTTCCTCCCCCTACTTCTGAATGCTTGCGTCTGCAATTCTCCCTCCAGATGGCCGGTCCTTGGAAGGAATTCTGCCTAGCACCGACCTGCTCCAGAGAGTTGGACCTGCACTGTGCCCCCTTTGTAACGTTCCTGGGGTCTTATTGCTATCTAGATAGACAAGAGGCACTATGCTGCCACGTTCCTGACTCTGATCATTGTAACTGGGAAACCCTATTGGCAATCTCCTTGGGGAGGAGTCCCCGGACGCTGCTGCCAGCTTGGACCTGAGCCAAGTCTTTGCGTGCCTTGAACAATGAATTTGCACCCTGGCTGTGTTCCTGGGGCCAGCCCTGCTTGGGGTTGGGGTGGCCCCATTAATCCTGTTTCTCAGGCTGCTTGTCCTTTCCCAGGCCCCAGCATGTCTCCAGTGCCAAAGGTGTGCCATAGGACAGGGCCTCCTGTGCCAGTCCAGGTGTGCGTGACTAGCTCTGGGCGAGTCTGTTCCAGTAATTCAAGGAGCCACTTCTTTTAAGGACAGCCTAGTTTCCACTTCCATAATCCTCTGGGCCATCTCTCAACAGTGTGATTGAGTAGGCAGGACCAACGTGACCCTCCGTCGCTGGGTCTAGTTGATAAACCTGAAGCTTAGGTGACGGGCCACTTCCCTGACTGATGGGTGGCCACTATCTGAAGCAGTGGCCAGTGGCCTTTCGGGTTCCTGCTCTGGGGCTCTCACCACGTGCTGGCTGGACTTACGCTTCTCAATCATACGTTCCTAAAGGCAAATAGCAGATTACATGTTTTGATATTGTAATACGCAATAAGAAACATATGTCAGTTTGTGTTCCCATTTTCTGGCCAGAGTTCCTAAACTCTCCTAAGTGAGCAGATGATAAGTGAACAGAGCATCTTTGTTATGGAACTCAGGTGTGATACAGCCATTTCACCAGTTGTGTAAGGAGGCGAAAAGCGCCTAAGATGGGCTTGGAGGCCAGGACAACCAACCTTGTG